TTTGTGGTTCTTTTCCAGGCTTTAGGTAATTTCCTTTCATGCATGGGTAAATTAGTAGCCAAAGACTGTTCCCCAGATCTCTGGAGTTCTGTCTCTGTGTTGCTCCCTCCTGTCTGGTATCCTACCCCACAAATTCTAAGCATCTTAGCCTCCCAGAACTCTCGCTCTGCCTCCTCAACTCAGCTAGGCCTCAGGCTTTGTTTGGGTTCCCCCTTCCCAAGCTATGGTCTGGAAATTACCTTTCAGCATAAACTGATGCAATTGTAAGGCTCACTTCACTTGTTTCCCCTCTCTCAAAAATCACAGCCCTGTGCGAGCTGTTGCTAAATGTCTGGAAACCATTGTTTCATATATTTTGTCTGTTTTTCTAGTGGTTTAAGGCAGGAGGATTATTCCAGTTTCTGCTTCAGTGTTGTGTTTAGATCCTGGAGTTAGAAAGCTAATCACAATTTATTACTGCTAAACTTTTTCCTGTTTGCTGTAATCAGTAATGATTTATTTTTAACACTTAAATTTAAGAGGACAATTAGTTTTATTTTTACATACATTCTAGCTTTGGGATTTTAGTGACTGTTTTTGGCCATCCGTTTTGTAGTGATAGATGTGTTTATTTACTTAGCTAGTCTCAATTCTTTTTGCCTCCTTTGCTCTTTGTAGTCTTAATTTTTACATATATATTGTTTTTCAGAGGGATGTCTATAGTTCTTTAGGCTTTAGACTGGATCTTAATAGAATAAGCAAATAATTAGGTTCCATTTCAGGAAACCTGAATTAATGATCAGGTAACCGGATTTAAAAAATAGTAATAATAATTAGCAGTATGATTTCTGTCAACATTCAGGACATGTAAGTTTTCATAGCAGTTCCAAAGTGTTGGGTTGCCTTGAGATTTCACAATACTTACAAATCAATATTACTTCCATTTTATGAAAGTCACCGTAGGTAGAATGAAATCATTGCTTGGCAAAGGACATTTTTGATTAGGAAGATAGGTATTGAATAGAAATCCATTAAAAATCGAATTGAAATGCATTAGAATCTCAGTTGCAAACTAGAGCCACACATGGTTACTGACCTCAGTCCCGTGCGTTCCATTTGGGACTTGCTTCCTTTCCTCATCTAATGATTCATCTGTTCAAGCATGTGGGTCACCATCATATGAAAGAACTAGAACCTA